CTAAAAAAGTCTCCAGCGGAGTCGCCAAGCTGTCATAACCATTTTTTGAAAAGAATCAAGTTTAAAAAACAATTATGACTTTATTTTGAAAAAATTAGAGATTTTGAATTAATTTGATTAAATTGAATAGGAGTCGCAATCAACCTTTGGGTTAGATAGGTTGAATACATCAAAACATCTTTTAAAACAATTTTAAGAAAAATCGTTTTTAAGACAAAAATTGGTTTGCGTTTTCCAAAAATTTATTTTTAAGAGTTCGGAAGTCGATTACGCGTGGGGAAGGATAAACAACCCCACAGTGCCCAAAATTAGTACTTAGTCACTTATATATTGTCACAAATGGTGGAAATTATAAATCAAATATAAATTTAAAATATGATTCATTTATTAAAGTTTGCTTCGAATTCTTTATTAGGGAAAATGCTTTAATTCGAAATGAAATATCGAGATTTGTTCATCCTCCGATTGGAAGGTTATCTCTTTTATTTCTTTTCTAAAAATAATATTCCCTCCTTTATTTAAAAAACACAAATCGAATATAAATTGAAAATTGACATTTGCATAAAATAAAATAAATTGCTATTTAGGGAAGCATACATTACATAATTTGAATTAGAAATAAAAAGCGATTTAATTAGTAAAATAAACTCAATTTATTTCAAGTTCACATTTTATTCAAACGTCGTATTGGATCGACTACTTCGACCTAGTAATGCTTTCCACGCCAATTCTACGATTGATACTCTTTAAAAATACGCGAATAAAAAATCTTAACAAGCAAATATGTTTTATAGGAATTGAATTATATAATACGTAAAATATGTACACATGTACATATTTGAAAAACTATATACACATATGGAACAACATGTATAATAATACACACATACATATGAATGACAAATAAAACATAAATTGATTAGCTAGATAAACAATGACTAAAACAAAATAAGTCGCAAATAACAGGTTCAAAACAAAGAACAAAAAAATCATAAGTGGTTAAAATGAAGTAATACAAAGATCAATGACTAAATTTAAATAAAGGACATTTCAAATGCTGACCAAATTAGAATAAATTAGAAACAAGATATTTGAAACAAAGAAAATGTTGAAATGAAACACCCAATGACTGAAACACAATAAAACAACAAAGGTTGGGGGACTTGTGGGTAAATAACCCACATCACAGTGACATAAGTGTAAAAGTGCGCCTAACTTAAAGGGACTATGTAGTGATTTACCCTAAAATTAGTGACTAAAATGGGAACAAGGCTAGCCTTAAGGACCTGGAGCATGAATTATCATCTTCATACAACAAGACAAAGGACCAGAATGCAATGCAGTGAAAACAAACATGCATAACTTAATATTTTACCTACAACAAAGATAATGACCAAAATGAATATCATATAAATTAAAGGTAAACAATCAAAAGTTAGTACGAATTTGATAAAGTGAAGTAATGACTAAAAGGAAATAAAGATGAAATAGCAGGATCAAATAAAAAGAAAATAAAACTTCATTAATGATTGAAAATAAAACGTTACAAAGGGTAAAGTACCAAACATGCTATTAAACCATGCGCCAAAAACACATTGAACCCCCAGAACGACGTCGTTTCGCGTTCAACATTTAAACCCAAAGTCAGTCAAAAAATGACATCTCTCATTTATTTCCCCATTCCTCTTCCTTTTCACCAAACAGGGAAACCCAAAAACCCTCTTAGACTCCTCTCTTCCATTACGCCCATACATCAAATCAGCTCTGGCCACTTTGGTTTGGTGGCCGAAAATAGCAAAACCATTCCATGAAGACTACCCTTGGCTCACTAGAAACCTAAAAGCCAACTTATCTCACTCACGAACCCAGTTCGATAAAAAACAAAATTTTCGCAACCCTCACCACTTAAAACCCATATCTATGGTGGAGAAGGATGTACCTTCAAGAAAAAAGGGGTTTGGTTTCGACGAGATGGAATCTCCATTTCTAAAGGGTAAGAACCTTCCTTTCCTTTCTATTTTTCTTTCTTGGTTTCTTTGGTTCTTCCCTGTTTCTTTTTATTTAGGTTTTTCTCTCTGATTTTTCTTTTTCCTATGTGTTCTCTCCTCTTGTCTCTCTTCCTCCCACCGAAACTTCTTCTCCCTGTGTTGCTTGCTTTTGCTTTTCAATTTCCTTGCATGTTGGATTTGGTGAGATCCTTTGTTGCTACCGAGAAGGCAAAGTGCTGGTCAGAAGGATGATGAACGGCGGCGGCAACAAGGCTGGGATCGACGCCGACAACTGATATCATGTAAAAACAGAGTTTTTCGGCTCTGGTAAACAGAGATTTCCGGCTCTGGTAAACAAAGTTTTTTTATTTTGAAATTATTTTTATTCAAAAAACAAATGCATATTACACAAGATGATACATGAGATGTTTATATACATGAATTAGAGTCCTAGATAAGATAGGAGTAATCTTTTCTATAAATTAGGAGATAGTTTTATAGATAAGTTAGGATTCAGAGTTTAACTTAAACACTACTTGCATTGTCCAATTTTCATCAAACCAGACAGAGAAGGAGAGGTCCCTGTGAAGACCTAAACATTGATTTCCACTCCGAGTATCAATTATCCCAGTGCATTTAACTGTGTTTTCATCAAAACTACTCTCTACCATATCATTTATAATCCTAAGGTAGAGCCATCTATGGACTGCATTAGAACACAACTAAAAAATGTAAAATCAATGCCTTCTCCTAGATCAATTATGAAACTATAGTAGTATCGACATTGCGGACATCGGGAAAAAAAACGAAGAACCAACCAAATACATTAAAAGGTTTCTGCCACTCTACTTATTTTAGATCAACCAGAGACCCAAGATGACACCAATTGGAATGAATTATAACAGAAAAACTAGAGCTCGACACAGCTACATTTACAGAAAAAACAAGGTGAAGGAAATACCCAATAGTGAAAATTCTTATTTCCATGACCGACAGCCTCCTACTAATTTTCAGAATGAAAATTCGAAATCATTCACAGCATTAAATCAACGCATTTGAAAGAAAAGAAAAAAACCTTCCCCCGAGCAAAAACAAAAACAGCCCCACCTCTTCTATTATCCAATACATTTTAAGAATTTTCAATTGAACGAACGAAAAAGAAAAGCTCAGTAAACGAACAACCAATTGGAATCGGAGAAAACAATGTACTTACATAAATTTAAGAACAAAAAGCGAAGAATCAAATCCATAAGACGCTAAATGAAATTCGACAATGGCATAATCAAATACAAATTACAATTTACAAAAAAAGAAATGACAATGGAGAGACCTGATCAAGTGTTGATGAGATCCAGAAGTGAAGGAGAATGAGAAAGAGATGATCTTCTGAATGTTCACAAAAAATAGAAACTATGGAACCATAAGAGATGTGATATGGTGATGAATGAAGGATCAACTAAAGTTGATTATGGCATCCGTACGCAGTCGTTTAGGCCTACGTTTGAGCGTTGTTGTCTGTTTGTTTTCTGGTTTGACTCCAAACGTAGATTCAAAGGCACAAACATTTGTCTACTTTTCTTTAATGGATAATTCCATCATACATCACTATATTATATTCTTTATTCTAATTAGATATTTAACCTCTACATTTTTTTTTAATTAAGTCTTCAAGTATCACTATATTATCAATTAAGTCTTCCCTTCACCTTAGAAATTAAATGCTAGCTTGGATCAGATGTAGAGCATACATAACATAGGTGACTTAAAATTCAAATTTACATGTACTATTGTTTGAATAGTTTGAATTTAATGTTAAGAAAAATAAATAGGTGTCTTAAATTGTAATATTTTTTCAATGCATTAGATCAAGATGTACATATAATAGATAAAACAGAGTGCTGTAGATAATGATCTACATCAAATCTATATTGATATTAACTATTTAAGTTGATGAAATAACATCGTATCTGAATTAATATTATTTATTTAAATTGATGAAATAATTTATTTAATAAAATATCGACGATTCAATCTTCAATTAATATATTTTAAAATTTGTAAATTAATTTAAAATCATAACTATAGTATAAAATATTTGATAGATTAAACTTTCTTTTACCTTCTTTCCCTTTTTTTCCTCTCAATTTTTCATTTTTCATAAATTAAACAAAAATAGAAGGTTCTTTTAATGAGATTCAACGTAATAAATATTAAATAGAAGATGAATTATATATATTATGTATTAGTTTCTAGGTGAAATTATTTCACATACCACTAAACTTTGTCCGTTGACTCGTTTATATCACTAAACTTTTAATTTTATCAATTATAACATTGAATTTTAGTTTTACATTCAACTATGTCATTCCGATGTTAAATCAGTGATGAAACTATGACATGAATAACATTAATTAATATCTAAAATGATGTCATTTTAAACATTGAACTTAAAAAAAATAGCACCGTTCCTTCCGATTGTCGCGGTAGTTAAGCATCGTCAGTCATCGGTCATATTTTGTGACAATATCAACACCAAAATGATAGTATTTCATTCATTATTTTCCTATGATTGATTTTTAGGAAATTTACTCAAAATCGATGAAAATAATGATGTTTACACATTGACAACTAACTTTATCACAACTCAAATGCAACATATTTGAGATTATTACAAGCACTTATCAATACGAGAGAATCAATTTGATGGTCTAAATCAGAAAAAAAAAATCAACAAGAGAATCAATAAACGCTAGAATGTTAACTTAAAAATCAAGGTAATTACATTTTTACAACTATTATTTAGGCCTCGTTTCTTATTGTTTTTCAAAAGTGCTTTTAAGAATAATGCGCACCCTACAAACATAAATGTTTGAATCAAAATCTCAACATAAAATAATATTTTTTAAACATCAAGGTTGTTGCTAAACTAATTTTAGTCGACACTCTCGCATCATACATCTGCACAACTAAATGGGAAGACGCTGAGTTCAAAGATTGTTGCTAAACTAACTAACAAAAACAACTTGCACCAAAAAAATATAGTCCTCCAACCTAACCATATTTTATAATGAATACATGACAGTCTTCCAAAGCTGCTCCATATGCCATATACTCTATGATCTAATCTAAACCAACTGAACCTCTTGTGCAAATGATGATGTATCCGGGACTTCGGTCAGAAACCGTTCCCAGAAAACATCGTTTACGGCACTTGGCACCGTGTAATCCGCCGCCACTGCTTCTACCTTGTTTTTGAAGGCACCATCGGTCTCTGGTGGACTAGCATGCCCTGGCTTTTGACCAAAAGCCGAAGATGGTGGAAGAGGATAATAAGCAGAGGCAGCCAGCTCAGGGGATGAGTTAATGTCTGTTGAATAAGGGGAGCAAGGGTGTGATGAAGGTGAGCAAAGTTCACCATCCATGTTGTAGTCTTCTGAAGAGGTCGGTATTTCCGTAATAACGATCGGAGAAGGTCGTGACGACGATGTTCCGATTCCAAACAATGTTTCCCAAAAGCTTATAGATAACTCCAGCTCTTCGATCTGTTTCAAGTCCAAATCCATGTCTGCCTTCTGAGAAGCTAAACTGTGATGATGTTCTTCTACATTCAAGTCATGCACGTTCAACAACTTCCTCTTTTTGCTATGAAATTGGGACGCAAAATTGGGTTTGTCAATAACATGAGACAATGAGGCCATCACCTGTCGTTGTCGGTCTTCCATGTTCTTAAACCGATCCGATAATAGCCGTACTTGAACCCGAAACTCATGATTCTCTTTCTGATGACCCTGCAACTCCAACTGAAGTCGGCTCTTATCGTCATTCAACCTCTTGATCGCTTCTTCAAATTCCTTCTTCTCCTTCTGCGTCAATGGCACACTAGTGTTCCCTTGGCGATTCGAGGAATGGCTATGAACCGGCTTTCGTCGATAAATGTTCTTCAGAAGATGTTTCATCCCTCTTATGAATTCCTCGTTTGCAAACTCCCATTGATCTGGATCAATCTTTCTGAATCCCTAATCAAAACAATAATAGCAAGCGTCAATCAAAACCATGAAAATTCACCATAACCATTCACATGGAGAACACTAGAAAACATAAGCCTAATACTCATACATTTTCAGGGTCAATTATATGTATGTATATGAATATGTCATTTCTGTTCTTTCATCAACAGTTCTTGCAACATGGCAAGGTACTAGTTTGGAATTTTTAAACAAGAAAACAGAGCAAGTGAAGAAACATTACATAAGTGTTGAGCTGTCGGACAAAACTGGAGAAATTATTGTGCTTGAAATATGTGGGGAGCAAATCTCTTGCAAAATCCGGCGGGTTCCTGACAATGAAACTGTAACCAGTTTCACTCCAAGACACCGAAGAGTTGGTGGCCGGATCATCCACCATCTCGTACGTCTTTATCAGAAAAGGCGGCGGCCCATTACCACTTCCCTGCGATCCTTCCATTTCATTCATCTGAAAGCTTCTGTTTCTCTTTTTTTTCTTGAAGAAAACTGCAACGTAAACCCTTTAAACCCAGGGGAAAAAACCTTCAAGAAGAATCCAATGAGAAATCTGTCAACAGGGTTGGAATTGGATGACGAGAAGAAACTGGGAAAATACGAATATTTTTGAAAAACAATCACGTTTATGGAAGCTTCTAAACCAATCCAAAATCGGAACTTGGGGATAAAGCAAAGAGGAAGAGGATAAGGATTAGAGACAGCAGAGGAGAAGAAAAATGAACAAAAAAAGGGTTAGATATTTAAAGTTAATTTGACTTTGTAAAAGCCATGGGGAGCGAGGTACATGCCTTTATAATGTTCAAAGATGAAAGATTCAAAGGCAAGCTGAAGCTTTTTCTCACGGGAGTCGTTGATTTTCCTGTTCTCTTTTGGGTTTGGTCATTTTGAAAATTCTTCAAGGGCAGAGTGGGTTTCTTTTTGACTGCAGCCATGGTTTCATCCCCTTGGAACTTTGACTTTGACCACTCCCTATAAATAATGTCCCATGATCCTCCACGTTTGCATTTAGGATTAACAATCATTTATTTGTTTCCACATTCATGATTCCAGGTTACTATTATTTTCCACCGCTAAACCTTCCATATAGGATTTATATGGAAGATTTATCTGAATTTGGATAATTTAAATATTGTACAAAAAATTAAACCAACGGCTTTTCAATAAAGTTTAAATTTTAGGGTTTTGAGGTTTCATTTTTAAGTTCATTTTATGTAAATCATGTTTAATTTGTTTTTAAAATTTATTCTACTTCTTTCAAATTTATTACGATTTAAGTTCAGATATGTTAATTTTATAATATTTGATTTAATTATAGTTTCAATTATCGTCGTTATTTTCTAATAGTTTATTCTAATTATAATTTTTTTATTGTTGTATTATTCATACTTTTTTTTGAATTAATCATTGGTATCCGATCTATTGAATGATTAATCAAGATCGGGTATTGCAAAGGCGAGGGCGACCCTCCCAACCCAATTTGTTCCATTCGCAAACGCCAGGATTCGAACCCCTGACCTTGTTTAAGAGACCTAATACCTCATCCTACTAGAGCAACTGGTTGCTGGTATTCATACTTCTAATTATGATTGTATTTATATGTATTACATTTTTTTTATAAGAATAGGTTTCTAATTTATTGTTGATTTATTTATCTACTTCAATATTTATAATGATGTATTTTACTTGTAATTGTTTTTTTATAATTCATCAGCAGTGATGGATCCAAAAATAATTTTGAGAGTGGACATCACCCTGAACATAGGATGGATCTATCACTGATCATCGACATCCAATCTACTAATCGATTAATTCAGATGGGTATTGCAAAGGCAAATGCAATTTTTCGAATACAATTTATTTCATTTGTAAATGTCAAAATTTGAACCTTTATCTTACTAAAGGTATCTGGTGCTTCATCCCACCAGATCAATTAATTATCAATTATTTTACTTGTAATTGTTATTCTACTTGATACTAAGTCATATTATTGATATTAATATAATAAGTATTTGTATAAAGATTAGTATTAGAGCACGAATCAAGTGACTTCGTGGTAAAAAATTGTTGTTATTTCTTGAGGATCCAGGTTCGAACATTATAAATGTCAGAAGTGTGAGTGTACATTATAGAAAGGTCAAAAATTTTCTTTAAACAGATATTGTCTTGTATTTACCTCAGATTAATAAAAAAAAGATTACTAGTTGAACATCGCTCGTTAATTATTTTTTTCAATAGTAGTGTATAACAATAATAACTCCCCATATAAATGTATCTTTATTTATTCTTAATTATTAAATATATTTTCAAATAAAAAATAATGTAAACATAAATGAAATTAATGTATATTTTTAAAATATTTAATATTTTAGTTTTAATATTTTATGAACATAATAAAAGTAGAATATTAATTAAATAAAGATAATAATTAATAAGATTTTAAGTTTTTTTTTACTATGGGAAGGGAGAGGGATATAGAGGGATTAATCTCAAGTTTTAAAGTCAACGAAAAAATAATATATTTTTAGTGCACCGCAAATTTAGTTTTTAATAAAATTTTAAGTTTTAATAACATCTCTTGTTATTACACTACAAATTTAGATTACAATAAGGAATAAAGTTTAATCACATATGAATTTGAGTCTATGATAATTATTATTATGGTTTTTCCAAAACTATTAATTACTATTATTTATCTAACAAATTAATTTTAAATGTAAAATTAATAATATAGTAAAAACTAAAGAGTATTCTCACTGATTAATAAGTTTCTTCAAACTCGTACTTATATATTATAATAAATTTAATTGTTTAGGGGTAAAACATAAATATTCATTTTTAATAGAGACGCAAAGGTTGAGAAAGAAAATCAAAAATTTTAGAGGGAGTAAAAAATAAATATCCCCTTTCTTCATTAGAGAATAGAGATTCTAGAACGTGAGAAAGAAAATGAAAATTTTCAAGGGGTGAATGAAATCTGCAAGCTCCTTAGCTACATCCCTGAAAACACCTAACAAAGTTGGCAAAAATGATCTCGAAGAGCATTAGAATACAGCTATAATTATTTTTGGGGCAAAATCAGCCCAATAATACTAGTGCAATAATTATTTAAGTTTCTAAAGCGAATTAAAAATTAATTAGTAATCTATAATATTTACTATAGTGATTTGGAGTTGATATTCGTCACGTGGACATGATAATTTTTAATAAAAAAATATATTCTTTTGAATTTTGTTATCTTGATATGACAAATTCTTATAAAAATTATATTTTTTAGAACTTAGTAAATATTATAAATCTCAAAATAAACTTTGAGTTGTGTTATTAGATTAAATAATTTATTTACCTGAATTATTGGGCTAACTTTTCCAATAGTCTATCATTTTTTTTTCTATGCATTTGGCGTTATCCATGACTAAACAGTGAGAATCGTAATTGTTGATGTACTAAAAAGTAAGAGATAATATTAATCAAATCAACAAGAATATAAAATTATGATTTTAGATAGACACACCTTTGAAGTTTCACTTGATGACATCAATAATTTCTTTATTCTTCGTCTTTTCCATCACCAGTGACGATAGTTTTTTCATCACCACTGACGCAGTTAAATTTAAGGGTAAACCATAATGTTAGTCACTAATTTATTATCACATTTTCATTTTGATAACCAAACTATTTCTTTTCAAAAATTTATCTTCAATATTATGTTTTTTGTCCTATTTTAATCACCATTCGTTTAAAAATTTAATGAAAACGATGATTAGGGGTGCGCATATTAACCTATAACTGTTAATCGTAACCGTTAATCTGTATAACCGTCACATTTGATAGGTTAATTAATTCAACCGTTAAGATTAAACGATTTCGGTTAACCAAACTGTTAAAAATAAAAGGTTAATAGTTACAATTATAGTTATAGATTTTTATAAAATGATTAATCGATGGTTAAATTATAAATATAATTTTTGACGACAGTTCTACAAATCCTAGTAAAAATTAATTTTATAATTAACTATTTTTCCTTTAAAACAATTCTATTTAACTTAAGAGACTCATTTTTTTATTTATTATTATTATTTTTTAATGTAAAAGGGGAATAAGACAGTCTGAGACAAGAGCCTCAAGTAGCAAAGCACAGCAATTATCAGCAAAGAAAACAGGGAAAACCTCTGGGGGTGGATCGTGGCTGAACATGAACCAAACGAATCAGCCACTCCCTTTGGATGAGTGCAGCGATATGATGAGCCATTGGAGGCCGAGTAATCTCCCCAGAGTCGTGAACAATAGCGTCGACAGCCTCTTTGCTATCCGATTCCACGACGAAGCAGCGAAAACCAAAATCCTAAGCTAAAGACAAACCTTCAAAGATATTCCACATCTCCGCCTCAAGTGTCGAGCACCCTCCAATTAATTTCGCAAAACCTGAGACGGCGAGACCCAATTTCCCTCATGATCGCACAGCACGCCTCCACAAGTGGTCAAGCCGGAAGAAGATCAATGAACACCATCTGCATTCAATTTTTTCCAATTCCGGGAGGGGTTGCCATAACGCATTCCGGTTTGTTGGAGAAGAAAATCCTCCATGTAACACAAAATATTAGTACACACTTATAAAGCTTTTCTTACTCTACTGTATACTCTTATGATAATATTATATAATTTTTTAAAGTTTAATATAAAAATATTATTTTAGTATAATTTAATAATTGTTTAGAAATTTTAGCTCACAAAATTATTGGTATATATTATATATCGATGTGAGATATTCATTTTAAAAAATTTCTGGACGGGTTTACAGTGAACGTCACACATCGGTATATACTAATATAACAGTGGATGAAAATTATAAATAATTATTAAATTATTATAAAATGATATTTTTTATTCATTTAACTTTTAAAAGTTATAAAATAAATAATGTCGAAGTCATAATATTAAATTATGATTACAGTTATAGATGGTATAAATGTTATTATATGATTTATTTTTTATAATTAATTATATTTTATATTACGGATAGGATTTACGATGAAATAACCTTTGGTGTTTGTGCAGCGACTATGTTTTAGCATCATGTTTGACATCCTTTTCTGAATTATTTGACAATTTATGTAATTTTGTCTTTCTTCTAAATTAGTTGCTGAGCAATTACAAAATTTTCTTTTTTTACTTTTCTTTTGTTTATATTTTACCACCTCAAATATTATCCTCGTAATTGGAGCTATCAATTGCATTGCATATCATCCATAAAAGTATTCCTATTTAATTAGACGAAATTTATAAATTTTATATTTAAATATAAGGGTGAAGTATATATATAGTCTCTAAATTTTAGGACGTTTGTATTTTGGATACCCAATTTTTGAAACTTATAATACAATCATCAAACTTTTAGTTCATTTTCATTTATGTCCCTACCTTTACCTTCCGTTAATTTTTATTGACGTGACAATTAACTCTCCGTTAACTCACCCCTTCTTCTTCTTCTTCTACTGAAAGCCCTATTCTCTAAAAAATTAAAAACCAAAAATCGTAATCCCATTAAAAATCTTATTCTTAACAAAATCAAAAACCCAAAAATTGTTTTGAACCATGGTTTTCAGAACCGGACCGGTTAACGAATCAGCCATGCTACCGGTTCACTGGTTCAACCGGTCCGACCGGTCAAAAGAACCGGACAACGTC